CAGTGCTTGTTCAATTCTAAAGTTTCCAATGACACAGAACACAGTTGGATACCCTGGATCTTTGTATTTTGGAGGGGTTTTGTGTTAAAGCATGGCACTGGCTTGTTCTGTCAAGAAGGCTCTTTTGTGGACATTCTAGCTTCTCTTGACTGTGCACAAGTCTTTTAAAAACTTGGCATAAGATGAAACTTGTTTGATTGCATCCAGAAGTGGGATGTTGATTTTCACTTGCTTAAAAAGCTCGTAAATTTTAGGTTGATTATTCAACTTCTGTATGGTTTTGAGTCTATAAGGAAAAGGAGCAGGAATAGAACACGAAGGTTCTCCTTCCTGTGAAGGCTCTGTCTCTGGTTCAATTATAGGCTTAGGTTCTTCTTCAATTACAAGTTTCGGCTCAACTGGTGCGTTGACTGGGATTGACTCAGGTCTTGGCTTGGGAATTAGCATGATTCTAATGGTCTTGTCAATCACCTTGCCACTTCTCAGTGTAGTGACATCTTGGGCTTGGCCTTGTGGATTTTTCATGATTGCGGGATTTCCCACCTAGACTTGGCCTTATGGTGATTTTGGTTGGGCAGGAAACTTGCCTTTCTCATGTGTGGTCATGGATTGGGTCAACTTTTGAATGTGGCTTTTAAGGTCCTCAAAAGATTAAGTAGTCTGTGTTTTGAAATCAGTGAAAGCCTAATTGGAATTATTGTTGTAGTTCATTTGGCTTTGCATGAATTGATTCAGAGTATCCTCAAGGCTTATCTTTTGTGATGGTTGGTATGGTTGATACGTGGGAGGTCCTTGAGGTGGTGGGTGTGAACCTTGTTGTTGGTTGTGTGTTTCTCCAACTGAAGTTTGGGTGGTTCCGCCACCCTAGATTGTATGTTTCAAAGTAGGGGTTGGGGTAAGGCTTGTTGAAGTTAGAAATGACATTTGTTTGTTCCAACAAAATCTCCTTGAATGTTGGAATGGTTAGACACTCTCCAGTTGGGTGTCCTATCAGCGCACAGATCCCACACACTTGTTCTGTGGGAGGGCCAACATCAACTTGATGAACCTTTTTCATCTGTAAAGCTTCAAGCTTTCGAGATAGGGTGGACATTTTCGCTCTTAGGTCATCATCATTTCTCAAGACATACTTACCCCCTTGGGAAGTAGATGGTTTGGCTTCAACAATGGTAGGGGAGACTGAGTCCCACATCTGAGAACTGTCAGATATGGTGTCAAAAAAAATTGAATGCCTCCTCTGGAGTTTTACCCATGAATTCTCCTTGAGCCCTCATTTTGACAAACTGACGTAGTCTAGTGGGTAAGGAGTCATAAAAGAATCCTACCAAAGTCCAATTCTCAAAAGCATGGTGTGGACAGGATTGAAGTAGATCTTTGAATCTCTCCCAACTTTGGTAAAAGGTTTCTCCTTCTTTGACCGAAAAATTCATGATTTGGCTTTTTAGTGCATTAGTGCAGTGTAGAGGAAAAAAAGTTTTTGAAAAATTTATTTTGTAGTGCCCGCTAGTCAGGTATTGAAAGAGCTTTTAAAGAATTTAGCTATTACTTAGCTTTATCCTTTAGAGAAAATGAAAAAGTTTCATTTTGGCTAGCTCATAATTTTCTTGAAAGGTTTCACATACTTCCTCAAATTCTTTTATGCGTAGATATGAGTTTTCTGTGTTGAGTCCATGGAATTGAGGGAGTAGTTGAACTGTCCCCGTCTTTACAGTAAAAAGAGGTGCATTTCCAAGAAAGATAAAACAAGAGAGGACACTATTTCTTATGGGATTTAAGTAATTCCATAGAGTTTGAATGTTAGGCACTTCCCCCTCTCTCACAAGAATTTCTCCTTGTCTCTCATCATTTGCCATTCTACTTTCACAAGATTCTACTACAGATCTAGGTGAAGGTGGTTCCGGTTGATTCATAGATCCATAAGATTTTGCTGACAAATTTTGATAGTGAGGAGCGTCCTCAGACATAAAATTAAAATAAAGTTATACACAGTGAAACAAGTATCTATACAAAAAGAGAGGTCTTTTTACCTTTTACCTTAAAACACCTTTCATGGTTTCCTGACAATAGCGCCAAAAACTTGACTTGATCCGAAATGTGTACACCCAAGTGCAGGCAATCAAGCAGTAGTAATATTCCGGTTAAGTCCAAAGTCGAATCCACAGAGAACTATGATTAGTGTTTTGAAATAAGCAGTGACAGAGACCAAGTAACTGGAAACTTTGCGAGTTTGAAGTTATGGGATTTCATGAATTAGAATATAAGATTCTTTTCAAGTATTTTTTAGACAAAATATAAGATAAATTCAAATGTGAAACAGTCACCCTTTAGCTCGAGGATCAGAATATGAAAGAAATCATCTGGTTTCTTATACTTGTGCTTTATAACTCAATTAACTCCCATGTCAACAACAAGTTAATCGAAAGATAAAGATGGACTGTGTGAATTAAGCACATGGTTCCGATGCCTTTCTATAAGTTTACAAGAATTGTCTGTGCCAAGACTTAACCTGTTTACAAACAAGCAAGTGTTTCTACAAGGTATGCAACCATGGCATTAATGTTCCATTCTTTAAATAAAGTACAATTATGGTGAAGATTGAAATGTCGTCATGAAGATCTAACCGGGGTATTTGCCTTGAACTAATGGGTCTTTCCATGCAAGAGTCATCTGTACCATAGAAAGAACCCATAGTTATACAAAGTACCTTTGCTTTGCTAAATGCATTCAATCATTCAACAAGTGAAATATAAAGTATTAAAGCATAAAGGAAATGCACAAATATAACTTCTAGATAATCAATACATGTTCATCACCTCTTACTAAAGAGTGAATGAGGAACCACTCACTCTTTATGGCTTGGGTAAAGCTAGAAAAGTGAGTGATACTCATCCCTCAAAGTAGAGGAGTTACAAAATAAAAGCACAATAAACAAGGAGCCAGTCTTCAACGAAGAATGAGTGAATCACGTTCCACCCTTCACGGCTTTGGTAAAGCTCTAGAAAGGTGAAAATGTTTTACTCCTCTAAGAAAGAAGTAAGCTCAAGCTATGGAAGTGAAAGATATGAACAATAAAAGTAGAAGAAAGCTAGTCACATTTGGATGGTGGCTTCCTCTACCAAGAAATGGAGGGTTGCTTCCTGAACCAAAAGATGAACTATCTCCCTTGATATAAGCAAATATATCTCTAAAGCTAGCTACATGAGTGGGAGTCTAAGCCTCCATCAAGCTCCTTATCTATCCAAGTCTCCATGAAGCTCCCACAATGGGAGTATTTATAGGCAAGGAGGAGGAGGGGGGTGGTGAAAGAATAGTGTATGCCGCCCAAGTCCAAGTGAAAGCCAACTACTCTGCAGTCTGTCTGTGGAGAACGTTCCAATGTGAGTTGGTGTTCGAACGTGGTTTCTGTTTATGCTTTATGGGCGTTCGAATGTTTCTTCTGTCTTTGATTTATGGACGTTTGAACACCAGATGGGGTTTGATCCTCTCACTCAAGTGGCCTGTGGTCTTCTGTGGAAACCTATTTCCACACTCTATGCAGAACTTGACACTTTGCAATCATCACCCTGGTATTCAATCAATTCAAGTGGACGTTCGAACGTGGTACTCAAGTACTTCAAGGTCTTCCTTCTTGGATGCAACACGCCATGTCTCAGAAATCTAGTCTTTTCATAGTTCAAGTGGACATTCGAACGTGAGTTGGCATTTGAACGTTCTTGCTTTGTTCCAAGCTTCTCCAATTTTGTCCCCAATATGTTGGTGTTACATATAAGTGTGATTTTTGTTGTTCTTGAGCTCTTGTTCACTTTAGGACCTGAAATGTCATCACTTAAACTCCATCAAAGTACAATTAGTCCTAAAAAAACATAGTAATATGCTAAATTTAAGTACTAATCATTGACCCTTGCTTGCCATTGCTATATTTGTAGTGTAGAGGTAAGGAATTAATATTGGTTGTGAACGATGCACACCATCTACCCATAAATCTCAGCCTTAATTGTCATATACCCAAGAATGCATGAAGTCTCTCTCTCTACCAGCCCTTGGACTCACAACTTGGAGGCCAGAATTTTGGAACCGCAACCATAGCCCTTGAACCCAAAAATGCTCGAAGTAAAGTAGAATATTAAGGCAAAAAGTAGAGTTCAATTTAGGGCTTCGATTTCCTTATGAATTGAAGTTAAGGCTTCAATTTCTTGATGATTTGAAGTTAGGGCTTTGATTGCCTAGTTAAATAGGCAGAAGATTCAAGGCCAAAAATGACGCCAACATTCCATCTGCATTGAATTTTTATGAAAAGTCAGGGCAAAAAATAAGGTTAGCTTATTTCCAGTTTTCCTTAAATGCTAAGTTATGCATCGAGTTATGTGTGTAAAAAAATGTATCAAATTTTCATATTTGTTTTGTTTTTGTGGCATAGATTTGTTCTTTATTGGCTTAGTGGTCCTGCCACTAAGGATTTGTATTTTAAATATTTGGTTTTTTTTTGCTTTGTGGTCATACCAACGGTTCCATTTGTGGTTATTTTTTCTAGTTTGTGGTCCTACCACATGTTGTATGGTGATTTTGGATGGGTAACAGGTGATAGAGGTTTCCCCACTATTTTGTTTATTGTATTAATGTACATCTTTTAATGCAGAATGGGTTCGAACAAATTTTTGTCGAATTGCATCATGGGGGAAAGTTCATATGGACACCAAAAATTGTTTACAAAAGGTGCTACTGTAAGTATTATTAAAGACTATGAACCAAACAAATTTTTTTTTCTTGAGATTATATACATGTATGTATAATTGGGAGGAGAAGGGGTGAATCTTGACATATATTATAGGGTTCTTGGGTACAGTTTGGACATGGGCGTAAAGAAAATGAGGTCAGTCTATGATGTTATCGAGTTACTAAAATGTTATGAAGACTAGCTAGTAGTTGTAATATACATTGACAAGGGTGATGATCTACAATCTGTGTTATGATAAGATTGTGCAAGGGATACTGTGAATACTATGGATGATGAAGTTGATGTTAATGTCAACGAACAGATTGAAAACAGTGATACACTTAAGACTGATTCTAATGACAGTGACTATGTAGCGAATACCTCTAAATGTTATGATAGTGACGAGTATAGTTAGGACCCTATTTGGATTTATGAAGACATAGAAGGTCCAGATGATGATGACATTTTCTAAAGTGACTTTCCACCTAATGGGGTTGAAGCATCTGTTAATCAAGATGTTGGAACATCTCAGTCAAATGTAAATTTGCAAGTGGATGAGGAATGGTGTTCTAAGATACGAAATGAAGAGGAGCTACTAAGTCTAAAAGGGTCTTCTGATGAAAAAGGTGATGGTTACCCCGAGTTCAGTTAGAGAATGATGCTTGATCCCAAACTTGTGGTTGGGATGAAATTTCCATCTCCTCAGGCTTTTAGAGAACTACTTAGGGAATACAATGTGAAGAATGGGTATGACATCAAATACATGAAGAATGAGAACAGGAGAATCACTGCTATTTGCAAGTATGGGTGTGACTGGTGGATACATGCTTCACCAACTGGAGGGAGCAAAAATTTTTAGTTGAAGACACTAAAAAGCTCACATTCATGTGGTAGGCACTATGAGAACAAGCAAGCCAACTCAGGCTATTTGGGAACCAAGTATGTGGATGATGTGAGAGATAATTCTAGCATAAATGTTGCCTCATTTGGAAAGAAAATAAAGAGAGAGACATAATGTTGAATTCAAGCAGGTTTCAATGTTACAGGGTGAAAAGGAAGGCTAAAGATGTAATAGTGGGTGATGTGGTTGAACAATATGTTAGACTATGGGACTACTATTAGACAATTTGGAAACATAACCCCGATATCACACTTCTATTGAAGCCTGAACATGGAGCATTGCAACCAACCTTTCAGAGAATGTATTGGAGGTTGGGAGCCATGAAAGAAGAATTTGTTCTAGGTTGTAGAACTATTATAGGTCTTGATGGTTGCCATTTGAAAGGGATATATGGAGGCCAACTACTTAGTGCAGTAGGTAGGGATGGAAATGATAACATGTTCCCAATTGCTCTAGTAGTTGTTGAGTCAGAGTGTAAAGATTATTGGAGTTGGTTTCTAATTGAATTGACAAGAGACTTGGGAAGACATGAGGATATGGGTTGGAAGTTTCTTTCTGATAGACAAAAGGGCCTTGTGGAGACATTTGATCAAATGATGCCTACAACACACCATAGATACTGCCTCAGACATATGTATAACAATTTCAAGGCCAAGTCTAAGGGTGTATAGTTGAAGAATTTTTTCTGGAAAGCTGCTTCAACTACCAGTGTGAATGACTTTAAATACTGGATGGCTAAAATAGAGCAGGTTGACAAAAATGCTGCTGAGTGGTTGAAGGGTGTCAACCCACCTTTGTGGACTAGATCACACTTCTCTACGAGAAGTAAATGTGATATTTTGGTGAACAGCGTATCTGAATCATTTAATTCATATATTCTTGAAACAAGAGATATGCCCATAATTAGTATGTTTGAGTGGATTTGGAGGAAACTAATGAGTAGAATACAAGTATAGAGAAAGGGTATAGAAACTTATTCTGGTTTAATATGTCCTCATATTCAGGAAAAACTGGAACAAAACAAGTTTGATTCAAGGAATTGTTTTCCTACTTGGTGTGGTAGGCTTGAGTTAAGGTGGACTATTTTGATAGGGTGTTCATAGTGGATCTTAAAGCAAGAACATGTACTTGCAGAATGTGGGAGTTGTCTAAGATACCTTGTTGCCATTCGATAAGTGCCATACAACAAAATCATGAGCTACCATAGACACATGTGCACGAATGTTAGACCAAAACTATAAATATGTCAACATATGCACACATAATACATTTAGTGCTTGGCATGCATGATTATGTTCATAGTGGAATACAACCAGTGAAACCCCATTACTCTGGAAACAAACTTGAAGACCAAAAAAATTGAGAAGAAGGGAGGCAGATGAGCCTAGAAACTCCTATAAGGATTCTAGGAAAAAACTTAATGTCACATGTGCAAAATGCTTGAAGATTGGTCACAACAAACGATCATGCAAGAACATGATCCATCCTAAATCAAAGTTATTGAGGGTAAGAGTGATTTTTTGTAATATAATTTGTCCATTATTTTTTCAAACACACTAATTATAAATTTCATTTTTGGTATTGTAGAAATCCACTGATGGTGCGGCCTCCAATGCTGCTACAGCCTCTAATACTGCTACTGCCTCCAATGCTGCTACGGCCTCTTCTTTTATTGCAGCCTGCACTATTGGTCCTAGGAGTGATGCAGTTGGGAGAGGTTCTGGGAGTGGTGTCGTTAACAGAGGTTTAGTGCAGCACAAAGGCCCACATAGGCTAGTCCAATCCCAACCTATTCAAATTGCTGGGATTCAACTTATTGGATAGAATTAGGGCTAAGAAAAGGTCATAATTTAGTCTGAATATTTATGTCTATGTTATATCAAACGAGCCTTTTGGAAATATGTTCTATGCTCTTTTGATTGTGCATAGTGTATGTGTTTTTTTGATTGTATTGAACATGTATTTTCTTTTTGGATATATGGGAAAATGGTTGTGAGCATTTTTCTCTTTTGAAATTTTTTTGTACAACTAGTTGATGGTTGTGACTTGTGGGAATTTGGTATTTACATGTCTAGCAATTCATAGAAGTTTGTGATGAAAATGTTTGATATTGTGTCAAATAAAAAAAACACCTTCACATTACATTAAAGACAAAATAATCCTTCAAAACATAGACAACAAGTTTTTAGTTTTTACTTAAGACTAAAATCAACACTGTCAAACAAATTACAGGTGCAATAAACATTCTCCTTAGCATATATTTCATGGCCACTTGATCAGACTTCATGGCTTCTTGATTAGCCTCAATCATCATCACATTATTGCTTATTTTTGCAATTTCATCATCATTTGGAGTGGCAGGCATACCAGTCGATTCTCGAAATTGAAATGGGATAACACCATGCCCAAAATTCACAATTTTTAGTCCCGCAAACATAATATAATCTTCCCTTCGATGGTTTCTCAGAATCAAGCACCTTGATTATCGCTTTACACCCACAACCACATATTTGGGTGTTGAACCTCAAATCTATAGGCTTCCCTCCCCTTGAGTTGCTTGAATATGACATCTAATGAAAATAAGAAAAGCACAATCTTTATCATAGTAATTTATTAGCCACTATATTACTCAAAAAACATGCTTAAATAAATTACCTTTTTTAATGGTAGCTTCCTTCCTCTAGCTCCAGAAAACAGCATTCCTCCAGCTCCAAAAAGCAGCAAGTCTAGCCTTCCAATGGAAATGAAAAGCTTAAGCTTTTATCATAGCATTAGAGGGTTATTTTTGACATATGTGTATATTTATTTTGGAGGGAAGCTGATTACTTCGTTCATCTATTGTCAAACCAGCGCGTCCCCTCCATTTCCATCTATTCTGACAGAAAACATAAGAGTTGCAATTTAGTTCATAACCACAGGGGGGTGATGTGCTTATTTTCAAATCATAGGGGGGGGGGGGTCATCTGCTCAAGGCACAAATCACAAGGGGTAAACTGGAATTTGACCAAAATATTAATATTGAATGTTACTATTTTTTTTGTTTAAATGGTATTATTTTTTGTGTTTAAATGATTTTTTTTTTTTTGTATTTGAATGTTACTATTTTTTATTTTTAGTGTTACCATATATATATTAGAGAGATATTGTCCTAGTTTGTATATGGATATTAATAGATATGAGAGAATATTTTTTTTAATGTTGTTTGTTAACCCAAATTCAACACTTAAAATGAATGTATTCAGCATTTATTAATTAAGTTCGTATGATAACTAAAATTTAAACTCTCTTAATATGTTAAGTGCTCCTCAAAAATGGGCTACAATATTAAGTAGAAGATTTATTACTTAATTCTGAAAGCTGAAAGCGATCAGCAAAACTATCTTTAATAATATTTATAATATCACACAATTATACTCCAAAATATTTTACAATCCTATTAAAACTCTAATTAGTCTTGTTTTCAAAACCTCTAACCTATCTATCCTCCCTGCCGATCTCTACTTCAGTGGGTAATAGATAAATCTTCTTCCTTGTCTCCTTCTTTTTCTTCTTGTCCTTTCCTTGTCTTCTGCAACAAAAATATACATAATAAATAATTAAACACACACACACATATTTGTTATTGTTGTTTTTTTGATAATATTTTATTGTTCACTTATTGTTTTATTCAGATGTTATTTATTTATTTATTTTGTTCAGATGTTTGTTAAATGTAGACTACAATATGGTAATAGTGATTTTGATTTATTTTATGACATATTTTATAAAAAATTTCAAATTAAAGAGTAGAAGGGTAAAAATAAAAATTAATTTATTTTTAGACATCAACTCTTTGTAGTTATCAAATAGTTTAGTTCAATTAAGTACTTGAGTTTCAGTGGATATCAAACAGTCCACAAATTCAGTATTCAACATTCAGTTTTCAGATTTCAACTTTTAGCTTTCAGTTTTATCAAACACCACCTTAGTCAACCTCTTAAAATTTAGTTTTAATTTACTTCTAAAGGGAAGTGATAGTTTGGTAAAATTGACAAAAATGAATTTCATAGCAAGTAAATTTCTTTGGCGGACTTAAGTCCATATAGTGGGACCGGCCTCCAAAATTCCCTTAATTATAGGAGTTAAAATGGGCTAAAATTGGGTACTCATTGGTTTTTCCTTCTTAAAAACAACTGAGAATATAAAAACCACTCGTCAGCCCATGTCTGAGTAGGGATGGTAACTGAGAGCACAATTTTCTCTCTCAATCCACTCCACCTCTCTTTCTCTTCTTGCTATTCTGACTAGAATTTATGTCTACTCCGAATGGGATTTCTCATTCAATTTCTCCTCTCTACATCATTCATACTTCCACAAATGAGTCCCCTCTGATTATTTGATTGAAATTTCCAAAAATATTTACTTATTACATCGAATATCTCCACTCTCTTGCTTTTTAGCATTACCTTTGTTTTTCCTCAACTAGATGTGTTACTTTTTTTTTGGGTCTTTATTTGGATGTGTTATTTGAGTGACATTTATTTGGCTAATAGACTAGTTTTGACATTTTTTGCCCACAAAGTGTTTAATTAAATGCCCCAAAGCTGCTAAGTTTGTCTCACATTATATTTAATTTATAAATGAATTATATATTCTATATTATGAATGCATGAAGATGCTTCTATTAAATCTGTAAATTTTTTTTTAAATTTTTTTAATTAAATCTATGACTAGAAACTATTCTTCTGGGTTCAAGTGGGTCTATGAATGAGCAGCTACTTGGAGTAGTTTCTAGTAAGTGTATTTTTTCTTTTGTCTCTCATTGATTCTCGATGTTCATGTACCAACCTCAATCCTATTCTAAATGTAAGGGGAAATAAACGAGAGATCTTTTGTTAATTCTTATGGGTGCTTATGGCTCTATTTTCATGTGGGCTCAAGTTGAATAAACGACTATAAACAAATTGGTACATGTATCTAAATAGGTAAACATGTACTACTATAATTTGTGGTATTTTGAAGGAAAATCGTGTTTATGTGAAGGTTAATTCCAATTCATTGAAAATCATGTGTAAAAGTGTCTCACTATCATCCACCTTTATCTTTCAGATAAATGGTTTTTGGACAAATATTTATTTATTCATCTAATACTAGGATGTGTTCTAAGTTATTTTCATTTTCACATTCATCAATTTTTAACTCAACCCTACACCCTCTTCTAGCTGGGCAATTGCTTGCATACTTTTCTCACCCTTTGTACTTGTTTGGTCAATGCAACAAGAACTTTCTGAGCAATTCAATCACTTAAAACAAACTTTTTTCTTGACATTATATCATTCCCCTTCGTGTTTAGCAGTTGAAGTGAAGTTGATTATACTCATTCTTACACTATACCATTCTGGTATCCTTGGTAGCCTAAGGCCCTAAATTTTGTCAATGTGTATGTGTATCAAGAGAGAGAGAGAGAGTGTGTGTGTGTGCCAGTTTGTCTTTGTGTGTGTGTGTGTGCCAGTATGTCTTTGTGTGAGTGTGTGTCAATATGTGAGTGTATGTGTGTGTGTGTGTTAGTATATGAGTGTATGTGTGTTAATATGTGAGTGAGTGTGTGTGTTTGTGAGCATATGTTTTAGTGTATTAGTGCATGTATTTCAGTGTATGTGTGCTTGTGTATGTATTTTAGTGTATTAATGTGTGTGTATGTTTATTAGTAGTGTATATGTATATATTTTTTTGATGTATTACTCTGTGTGTGTGTGTTTTGGTGTATTAATGTACGTGTTTATATATGTTTTGATATATTAGTCTGTGTGTTTTGGTGTATTTGTATAGTTGTGTATATGTATTTTATTGTATTAATGTGTGTGTATATATTTTGGTGTATTAGTGTATGTGTGTATCTTGGTGTATTAGTGTTTTGGTGTATTATTAAATGTGTTTGTGTTTCTTGGTATATTAATGTATTAATGTATGTGTATTTATGGTGTATTAGTATATGTGTTATTTTTGGTACATCACTGTGTGTGTTTTGTTGTGTAATTTGTTTTGTGTATTAGAGTGTATTTTATTCGATGTGTTAGTATGTGTTTTAATTATTTATACATGTTAATGGGTTTAACTCAACCCGTTATGATCCAACTCATTATAACCTATTTATTAAGTGAATTAAAAATGAAATTGGATTTATTTTACACCTAACTCATTTTGAACCAGCCCATAACCAACCCAACCTACTAATTTTCCACCTTTAATGGTGCCCAACATGGGTCCCCAGTGTTCAATGCCAAAATCATTTTAACATGATGTTTAAAGGGAAACCAATCGATGCTTTCCCTAAACTTTATCATCCTAGGGGTAGAAACGGGTTAAGGATGACTCAAGATCATCCTAGGGAGGTTGTGAAAGGCATGGTATGCCTCCCATGGATTCGATATAGGAAGTGAACCCTATACTTGGGGGCCAACCGTTGGAACCATTTGAAAATCTTGAAGTTCATAGAAATATGGTGGTCAATTGAAACCAGTTAATGGAAATGATTCAAGATCTATATGGTCCTAATCTTCGAAGGAAAGAAAGACCAATTTTTAGAAAGTCATACTTCCCATGGGTCGATTTTTAGAAATTCCCTAAAGGGTAGGGGAGGCTGAGTCCCACATCTAAAAACTGTCAGATATAGTGTCAAAAAAATTGAATGCCTCCTCCGAACTCTTACTCATAAACTCTCATTGAGCCATCATTTCGACAAACTGACGTAGTCTAGTGGGCAAGGAGTCATAGAAAAATCCTACCAAAGTCCAATTCTCAAAAGCATGGTGTGGGCAGGACTGGAGTAGATCCTTGAATCTCTC